TGGTAATTTCCATCCTTTTATACTTCTTCTCTAATTAGCATGAATACTCCTCAAATTATTCTACAAAATAAAAGCAGCAGAACACTGAGACATTCCTTTCATGAGGATAGTTTCCTTGATACCTCAGTCACTTATGCACTCAAAAAGTAAGAAAACTATATGGCAATTTCCTTACGAACATATATGCAAAAGTCCTCAATAAAATATTTGCAAACTGGATCCAAGAACACGTCAAAAATATCATCTACCATAAGCTTTGTTTCAGGACATGTAGGGATGGATCAATATACAAAAACTAATAAATATAATCTACCCCTTATACAAACTGAAACTTCAATTCTGCATTCAATGCAGAAAAGTCTATGACTAAATTAACACCCCTTCTTCATAAAAGTTCTAGAGAGATTAGGAGTTCAGGGGACATACTTCCAAATAAAAGAACCATTTGACAACAGGTGTGTAGCCCACATCAAGCTAAATGGAGAGAAATTAATATGTTTTGCACTAAAATAAGAAACAATACAAAGGTACTCACACTCTCCATATATATTCAATACAATACTTGAAATCTTAGGAAGAACGATATCACAAATGAAGAAGATCAAGAAGTGATGAAAAGCAAAAGGAAGAAATCAAAGGAACTTTACGTGCAGATGCTATGATTTTAGGTATGAAAAACTCTACAAACTCCACCAGGAAACTCCTAAATCTGAGAAGCACTTTCATCAAATTTAGGGGGTGAAAATATAATTAACAGTGGGTGTAGCGGAATGTGCTAAAATTGTGGAGTTGCAGAGATATTCTGATTATTAAGAAGCCAGGCTGCAAAAGGATAGCTCTGGAGGGGTAGAGAGCCACAATCAGACAACTCTGGAGGCCAAGAGAAACAATGTGGCAGCTATGGAGAAACAGAGTCACAATAGGACAGCTATGGAGGCTGGACCTGCAATACAATATCTCAGACCTGGAGGACAAGTGTCCTAACTAGCAGTAAGACAGGCTACCTTGAGCTGGGGTGCAGTTGGGCATGGTCTCCCCACAGGATATAGCAATACTCTACTTCTCCTGGAGAGCCATACAGCTGAGTTCTGCTCTGTTCCCTTAAGGGAACATCCTAACAGAGCTATCTGCTTCTTCTCCAGCCTAAGATGTTACTTCATTTGCTCACACTCCTCTAAAGGAGAAGCACACTCAGAAATATAGCAACTCCTCCAACTCCTTACCTTTTCTGCTCCACCTTGCTTATGCCCCCCCCCCCACTTAGGGATCATCTCAGCATGGTTTTTCAGCTCATTCCCTTAAGGAACGTCCTGCCCAACCATGTTCTTCTATTCTGTGCTGGCAAATGAAGATCTTCACCCAAGATTCTTTTGAGAAAGAGACTTATTTGGGAAGGAGGAATCCAGCAGAGTAGCCAACTCTGCCAGGGAGACATAAATAGTGGCCTTTAAGTGAACATGCAGAGAGGCTTGTATAGGGCTTCTTGAGGGAAGAGTTTTACCAGGGAGAAGAGGGGTTGGTTTGTCTTTCCCTGCTCAGGTATTTTTGTTTCATTGTTCAGAGGCAGATGTGGCTCTGATTTCATGGTCAAACTGTGTTTTTTTTCACTGGCTCATTGTTGCCAAATCTTACAACTGTAATCTGAGGACCAGGGCATATTTCCTTCACGGGCTCTGATTCTGGGAACAATGTGTGTTTCTTTGACTTTGGTTTTAGAGTCAGGGCAAATGTCTTTAGTCCTGGGTTCAGGGAGAAATATGTTTCTTTCCCTGGCCCAGGTCTCAGATCCAGGATTTGTTAATTTCACTGGCTCAAGGTTTAGAGACATGGTGTTCAGTGATTGATCGGTTTCCTTTAACAGATGTCCATTTTACCCTACAGAGGACAGTAGCCCTTCTATATACAAATGCAAACAGACCTAAATAGAAATCACGGAAATGATGTCTTTCACTATAGCCTCAGAAAATAGTTTGGGGGATTCCAAACTAGAAAAGTAAGAGGCCATTGTTAATACTTTAAGGCATTAAAGAAATAAATTGAAGAAGATATCAGAAAATGGAAAAAGTTCTTGTCAAGCATTAGTCAACTGGTGTAATAAATCTGGACATGGACATCATATCAAAAGTAATGTTCTGCCGGGCGGTGGTGGCGCACGCCTTTAATACCAGCACTCCGGAGGCAGAGGCAGGTGGATCTCTGGGAGTTTGAGGCCAGCCTGGTCTACAAGAGCTAGTTCCAGGACAGGCACCAAAGCTACAGAGAAACCCTGTCTCGAAAAACCAAAAAAAAAAAAAAGTAATGTTCTAATTTGGTGAAAGATCTACCTAAATTATAACACAATTCTACATATCTTGAAAAGACAGTCTCCAGTATCACATGAATACATGTAAACAAAAAACTCACAATAGCTGAAACAATCATGAATAATAAAGATATAAATATAGAGGATATTACCATTGAAAATACGAAACTATATTACAGTTATATAATCTTCATGTTTTCTACAATTATGTTATTGTCAAAAAATAAAAACTTGATCAACAAAAAATCTAGAATACCCTTGACAAAAAGATAGCACTTATTTCTAACTTTACCTATGCTATTTCCAGCATACCAGAAGTCCCCCAATGAAAAATGTCTTTTCTCCCAAGAGAGAATCAGTGGGGAGAAGAGTCACTCCTATAGGATGTCTCAAAACACAGCACTTGATGGATAACATCACACAGCTCAATAGAATACTTGTACATTCTTTTTCACCATAATGCTTAGTTTGGGAATTCATTTCATTTTATATTTTTGCTCTATAGAATCTTTGTGTCTATTATAACTTCTAGAGTTTCATTTTGTACATTTTTGTGTGTACAAATGTGTCTATCTCTCGACATATGTTCACTGTGCTTTTTCTTTGTCTCCTTTTCTTCTGTTATCTTACCGGATTTCTTTGATTTTGATTATATCATTTTATCCTTTTTCTTTTGGTTTTTTAGAGACAGTGATTTTCTGTAACTTTGGAGCATGTCCATCAGCTAGCTCTTGTTACCACACTGACCTCAAATTCACAGAGGTCCACCTGCCTCTACCACACAAATGTTGGTTTTAAAGACATGTACCACCACTGAAGATGGGGAGGATTTCAGTGCATTTGAGGAATAAAAAGCCATATTCAGAATATGTTTTATGAAAACATCTATTTTCTGTGTAAAAAAAAGAGAAAATATATTTGTGATGATATGATCAGTCCTTGTTAATTTACCTGATATCTGAGATTTTATGGATGCCTTCATTATGGTATATATGATTCTCAGTGGATCAGTTAGTAATCACTGTTTTCTATATGAATTCCCTTCTTTATTTACTAACTAATATTCTGTCTTCTTTATTGATATTATTTAATTTGTACATTTCAATGGATTATAGAGATGAGTTATATCCATAAAAATAATATAATTTCATGAATGTAATTTGTTGTTGGGTTATAGGCTTTGAATTAGTTACTTTTAAATTGCCTTGAAAAAATCTCTATGATAAAGGCAATATACAGGGGCTCCATGGTGATGAATTAGAGGCAGCAGCTGGCGAGTGGCTGGAGCAACATTAAGAGGTCCCATCTAGAACCACAACAGGAAGCAGAGAGCTCACTGTTGGCAGTAAAAAGTTTTAAAATTCTCAGAACCCGTCTCCAAGGAAGTAGCCATTCCAAAAAGTTGATACTTCCTGATCCTACACATAAATATCCACCAACATCAGGCAATATATCCATTTGTTTGATTATATGGGGTCATTTCACACAACCCACCATAGCCTTACTTATTATTCTAAAAATTATAATTGATATGTCTATGGTAACATAACTTCAATCCTCTCATTCTATAATTTATTTGATATATGTTATAAAAGATCTTATATCTATTTGCTTTTAGATTGTTTCATTAGAATAAATTAATTGCTTTATTTTTTGTAATATGCCACCTTGCATATGGGTCTACATATTTATAAAATTGTGTGACATATATATCTGGAAACATTTTACCTAAATGGAGTAATTCAGATAATTATATATTTTTATTTTATCTAGTACTTTATTCTCATCAAACACAAGATTTATTTTCAATGGAGAATAGACAAGATTCTGTCAAGAAGTTGGTATCAGGAATAGCTGTAAGTAGTAACTTAAAAACCTTGCATTTAAGGATGTTGTCAAAATTTGGGGAAAAGAGAAAATAGAATGGATTATGTCATGATTGAAATAATCTATATTCACCAGCCATTCTGGTAGTCCTGCCAAATAAGGTCAGTAATCTATACCTTATCTTGAGAGATTTTACATTAGATCACTTACATTTTCATATCAGTTTCTTCAGTAAAAAGAATCCAAATAAACTTTTGAAAATATAATTTTATTTCACAATGAATTTAGAAAAAACCTGAAGCTGAATGACCCATATTCTATTAAACATTCCTTAGAGTCCCCTCAACTAATAATTACATTTTTGTGACAAGTTATTCAACTGAAATAAACATGAGAAGGGTTTTCTCAATCATATGAGACTGAAAAGATATCATAGCATTTTGAGTTGTGAAAATCCTTACACACTTAATAAATCATTAAAGCCTTTCCTAGGCACTCTGGGAAGAATAGTTTCCAGAATCATCATCTTGAAGGGATAAATTTCCAAAACATCAAATCACCTTATGTCTTTACTCATTATTTGATGCATAATAGAAGGCCATTTTTCCTTCAAGCCAATATATACATGATAATTGTGTGAAGATTTTTTTAATTATGAAACACACATTTGTTTTTTTTTTCCAGCATGACCAGAAAGAATGGAAGCATTATATGAGGAATCAAAATGAAGAGAGACAAAATAACTATATGGAATATGGAAAGTACTTCAAAAAATCTCCATGTGTCACTAGGCATAAGAGAATTAATCCCAAACAAAAGGCATACAAATGTAAAGATCAGGGCAAGTAATATACCCATCATGATAATTTTCAAACTCACCAGAGAATCCATCCTGGTGAGAAACCTTACAGATGTCAGACATGTGGCAAGTCATTTACTCGGCATGCAACTCTTCAAGATCACAAGAGAATACATATTGGTGAGAAACCTTACAGATGTCCAGCATGTGGCAAGTCCTTTACCCGGGCCTCAACTCTTCATAATCATCATAGAACCCATACTGGTGAGAAACCCTATAGTTACCCTCTTGGCTATGGGAAGTAGACAAAATTGCTGGGGAGAAAATTGGGTTCTTGGGGGTGGGGTGGGATGGGGGTAAGGGGAGATGGGGAGAGAAAAGAGAGAAGGAGAGGATGGGGGGAACTTGGGGAAAAAGGAGGCTTGGGATAAAGGAAGGTTGGATAGGGGAGCACAGAAGCACAATTCTTAGTTAAGGGAGCCACATTAGGGTTGGCAAGAGACTTGAACCTAGAATGGCTCCCAGGAGCCCAACCCGAGGGCCCCAGTTAGTTCCTTGGGCAGTTGAGGATAGGGAACCTGAAGTGACCCTAGCCTATAGCAATACTGATGAATATCATGCATATCATCATAGAACCTTCATCTGGTGATGGATGGAGATAGAGACAGAGACCCACACTGGAGCACTGGACTGAGCTCCCAAGGTCCCAATGAGGAGCAGAAGGAGGGAGAACATGAGCAAAGAAGTCGGGACCAAGAGGGGTGCACCCACCCACTGAGACAGTGGAGCTGATCTACTGGGAGCTCACCAAGGCCAGCTGGACTGTGACTGAAAAAGCATTGGATAAAACTGGACTCTCTGAACATGGCGAACAATGAGGGCTGATGAGAAGCCAAGGACAATGGCACAGGGTTTTGAACCTACGTAATGTGCTGGCTTTGTGGGAGCCTAGGCAGTCTGGATGTTCACCTTCCTAGATATGGACGGAGGGGGGAGGACCTAGGACTTATCACAGGGCAGGGAACCCTGACTGCTCTTTGGACTGGAGAGGGAGGGGGAGAGGAGTGAGAGGAGGGGGAGAAGGGTGGGAGGAGGGGGAGGGAAATGCAGGGATGGGAGGAGGTGGAAACTTGTTTTTTTTTCTTCCTTTTCTCAATAAAAATAAAAATAAAGAGAGAGACCTTACAGATGTCAAGAATGTGGCAAGTCCATTACCCAGGTCTCAGTTCTTCACAGACATCACAAAATCCATACTGGTGAGAAACCTTACAGATGTCAAACATGTGGCAAGTCCTTTACCCAGATCGCACATCTTCATATCCATCACAGAACCCATACTGGTGAGAAACCTTACAGATGTCAAGCATGTGGCAAGTCCTTTACCCAGGTCTCACATCTTCATAATCATCACAGAATCCATACTGGTGAGAAACCTTACAGATGTCAAGAATGTGGCAAGTCCTTTACCCAGTTCTCAGTTCTTCACCAACATCACAGAACCCATACTGGTGAGTACCTTACAGATGTCAAACATGTGTAAAATCCTTTACCCGGGTCTCACATCTTCAGAGACATCACAGAATCCATACTGGTGAGAAACCTTACAGATGTTAAGAATGTGGCAATTCTTTACCTGGGTGTCAACTCTTCATAATCATCACAGAACCCATACTAGTGAGAAACCTTACAGATGTCAAGAATGTGGCAAGGCCTTTACCCAGATCTCAGCTTTTCACACTCACCACAGACTCCATAGTGGTGACAAACCTTTACAAATGTAAAAAATGTGATTAGTCTTTTAACACAAAATCAACTCTTAGAAAGCATCACAAAACTCATGTATTAGGTACAGTTCATAAAATTTCTTAGTATACCTCACATTAATTCACTATACTGATTTTCACACATTGACGAAGTTATTACACAGACTCACATCCTTTGATTAATTTTCAAAGCTTAGTCACTGCTTATACAGTCATACAGTTTTTATAAATTTAGAAACATTGTATCTAGATTTGATCTTTATTTTCATCAAACTTTTGTTATAAACTGAATTTATGCATGATTGATGTGAACATACTATTCAATCATCAGCTAGTATCAATAAATAAATATTTCTAGTAGGAATAAATTATGCAATAACTCTTCTTGACTGTATTTTAAGATAATGTGTTAAAGAACCAGCAAATTTAAACTATTTCAGATTTTAATACATACTTAATTTCTTGGCATATGGTTGCTTTTGGCTTTTGTAATGAGATTATATCCTTTATAAACATTATTTTCCTTCAAGACTTTTAGAGATTTTACTAAATATAAGCTTGATTTAAACTTTAAGGCTTTTCATTCTGTATCTTTGCAATAAAAAATAAATTAAAGACTTGGGCCAATTTTTATCGCATTTTTGTTCTGATAGCCTATTCTCTAATGGCAGGGTATCATTAATGAGATTTGCTAAATGGATGACAACAACAATGAAAACATGAACATAGTTGAACAAATACATTTGTAGTATGATAGGGCATCTCTCAGGTATATTCCCAATAGTGATATTGCTGGGTCCTGGGGTAGATTGATCCCAAATTCCCTGAGAAACCACCACACTGCTTTCCATAGTGGTTGAACAAGTTTGCATTCCCACCAGCAATGGATGAGTGTACCCCTTTCTTCACAACAATGCAGAGAGATGATATTATTTTGGAATGGATCTTTTTACCACATAAACCAAGTAAGAAACTGAAAACTTATGTGGAAAAAGTCTCTGAGTTAATTATAAAAGGCAAGCTGAGACTTCGTCAACTAGCAGGCATAGACCCAGCAGAAATTATAGTGCCTTTCACTGCTGATGAACTAAAGAAATTATGGGAAGATAATGAACCATGGCAAAGAGCTTGTGCTATTTTTTTGGGAGACATTAATAACAACTATCCAAAAAGCAAGAGGCTTAACTTCATAAAGAGAACTTCTTGGATTCTTCCTCAAATCGTCCTCAAATAACTGGAGCCCGTACATTCTATACTGATGCCAATAAATCAGGGAAGGCAGGTTACAAATCAGAAGACTTGGGTAAGGTGGAACAAAGTCCTTATAATTCTGTCCAGAAGGTGGAATTATATGCCATTCTTATAGTGCTAAGGGATTTTAAAGAACCTATTAATATAGTCACTGATTCACGATACGCAGAAAGAGTTATTTTACATATTGAAACTGCTGAATTTATACCTGATGATACAGAACTAACCTCATTGTTTCTCCAGGTTCAAGATTTGATCAGGAACAGGCTTTGCCCTATGTACATAACACACATCCGATCCCATACGGGTCTGCCAGGTCCTCTAGCACAAGGTAATGCAGAAATTGATCAATTATTGATTGGCAGTGTGCTACAAGCCTCTGAATTTCATAAAAAACATCATGTTAATAGCAAAGGTTTGAAGAAAGAATTTTCAATTACATGGCAACAAGCTAAGGAGATTGTAAAGAAATGCCCTACTTGCTCTTTCTATAACCAAACGCCACTGCCTGCAGGGGCTAATCCAAAGGGCACCCAAAGGAATGAAATCTGGCAGATGGATGTGTTCCACTTTGCAGAATTTGGCAAATTAAAATATGTTCATCACACCATTGACACTTATTCAGGCTTTCAGTGGGCAACTGCTTTAAGTTCAGAAAAAGCTGATTCAGTAATCACTCATTTATTAGAAGTCATGGCTATCATGGGTATACCTACACAAATAAAGATGGATAATGGTCCTGCTTATGTTTCTAGGAAAATGAAACAGTTTTTTGATTATTACAATATCAAGCATGTTACAGGTATACCATATAATCCTACAGGTCAAGCAGTCATAGAAAGATCAAATTGAACTATAAAGGATATGTTGAACAAACAGAAAGGGGTGGAAAACACCCCCAGAAATAGGTTACATAATGCTTTGTTAACCTTGAATTTTCTCAACGCTAATGAGAAGAAAACAACAGCTGCAGAAAGACATTGGATAATGGAAAAGTCTACTGAACTACATCAACCAGTTTATTTCAAGGATGTGCTGACCTCACAATGGAAGCCAGGAGATGTGCTACGTTGGGGAAGGGGTTTTGCTCTTATCTCCACAGGTGAGGAAAAATGGTGGATACCATCAAAATTAATAAAGGTTCGGTTTGAAGAAGAGAAGCCACTTGGAAAAGATAAATAACAATTCTTTCATAAGGATGGCGAGCATACTGATGGTAAGAAATACAGATAGGTTGGAGGCAGGGTTCTTTTCTTATCTCCACAGGAAAATACTCATCTTCAAAGAAACTAAGGGACCCTGAATATTTAATTACTGATGGATGGACACATTTTGTAAGTATTAATTTATATATATATATATATGTCTTATTAAACATTTCTTTATAAATATGTAGAGCTGGTTTTGAAGTTGGACTCTGGCTCAGTCCCTCTCCAATTCCAAGCCTGTTAGTAAGAGAAAAACCGAGAGTTTCTGGAGTTTCTGTCTCATGTCAAGAGCCATGATATGGGACAGAAAGAAATATGAATTTAGAAAACATCTTTGCTTTTCTTCATATCTATCATACTTTTCATTGAATATATCTATCATGCCTTTCATTGAATATATATATGTATGTCTATATATGTCTATATGATTAATGTTTACGTTTTTCACAATGAACAATGAGTTTTTCCTGAAGTGACATTTGAAGTTTCCAGGAAGAAGATGGGGCCCCACAACAACAACTCTACCTGGTTGATATGACGTCATGATACTGATAGCGCTACTATAAGACCTGTTTTGGATACCAGCTGCACAAGACAATCCCAACTTTGTTAGCTGAAATGGTGCACATCTTGTACAACATTCTGGCCAGACCTCCACAAAATACTCAGAGACTATTTGCAATTTTAAAAGACATTGATCTTGAAATTTAACCATCATTTTACTTTCACAGGATCCCCCAGAAAGAACGTCGCCCCCAGGACAGCTGGAAGTAATTCTAGAGGACGATGTCCCCTCTCCCAGTAAAGTTTACCCTTGGGTTTAGGGACATCAATTAGGGGTTGGGAGGTTGGGGGAGGAATTTCATAAGCTCAGGGATCATTTTGAAAAAAAAAGAGGGAATGATGGGATAATAGATTTATAATTGTGAGTTACTGCTTTTAGACAAATATATTAGTATCCATTCTGGTATATTGATACAAAGTTAAATTATATTGACTATTGTATGCATGCATGTTTCTATCTCTGTTTAAAACATTTTTTATGTATTGACATATATTGTATTGATAAATATATATTGTATATATTTACCATATTGCAGTGTACATTTCTACCTCTGATTAAGATACTTATATAATGTTTGTGTCTTGATATATATTTACCATATTGCAATGTATATTTGTACAGTGTGTATATTTGGAGGTCATTATCCTCATTTGTTACACAGTTGTTTATTGTCTTAGTCTTTAAGTTAGATAGATATTGAGAATTATATAGATAAATAGTCATGTAAGTTTGTCATTTATAATTAGACTAATCAGGTTCTCTAGATATATAGAGATTATACTCAGTATAGATAGATAATCTTCGACCTCTTCAAAGGCTGTAGAAAATGGCCTTTAATCTAACTCAGAGTTTCGAGATAGTGAGACACAATTGCTCCTGGCAACACCGCTCTATTCCCGAGAGAATGTTGAGTACCAAAGACACTCCACCTGGAGCCTTTCTATTTGGCAGAACTGGCCTTTGGGCAAAGAAATGCCTATACCTCAACCACTGACAGAGATACAGAGCGTGCATCAATGGATAAAACAGGACTGTTATGTCCTGCCAAGACAGGGTAAGGTAGTTTTGAAAAGTTCCTTGCCTTTAATAATGGTATGTCAGTTATGTTAGGCCTTAGCCAAAATTGGTTGACTCAACATTGGAAACGAGACTTTGGGTGATTGCCCAGGTAGTCAGTTGTCTCTGTCAATTGTTGCACATTTTGGATATATCTCATTTGTTGAGTAGTGTTTATTCCCTTCTCAGATCTTTGACGGAGTTGAAGATTATATAATTGTAGTTACTCTCTACATTATTTGGACTCCTTGAGATAGAATGTTTAGCAAATCTTTTGTTCTCAGTATAGTTTGTTATATTTATTATTTGTTGTTATTGTATATAGTTGTATTTGGTTTGGTTCTGTCTTAATTAGACAAAAAGGGGAGATGTAGGGATAAGTCCCACCCCTTGGGGGGGCGTGTTCACCTTGGGCTAATGTTTGCCTATAAATTTGGCAAGCATGCTCCCAGCAGTCCCTTCTGCTTTCCTGGTCTCCGCGGGAACGGTGGTTCTGTAAGTTTATTTCGCCCTTAAAGCTGTATATATATATATATATATATATATATATATATATATATATATTTGCAATCTGTCTGCATTTGTTTACGCCATTACACTTCTCCCAGTCAGTGGGTTGCCTTTTTGTCTTAGTGACAGTGTCCTTTGCTTTACAGAAGCTTCTCAGTCTCAGGAGTTCCCATTTATTCGATGAGGCTTTTAATGTCTATGCTGCTGGGGTTATACATAGGAAGTGGTCTCCTGTGCCCATGTGTTGTAGAGTACTTCCCACTTTCTCTTCTATGAGGTTCAGTGTGTTCGGACTGATATTGAGGTCTTTAATCCATTTGGACTTGAGTTATGTGCATGGTGATAGATATGGTTCTATTTTCATTCTTCTACAGATTGACATCCAATTTCGCCAGCACCATTTGTTTAAAATGCTCTCTTTTTT